CCGGAAATCAAGGAACGGGAAACATAAGCGTCATACTTCCTGCCGACAAGCGGTAGGGCGTATGTATTATGACATCGGCTAAAGTCAGGTACGGTAGGAGTAAGCGAGGTACGGTCCGGCATATCACAAGTTACCAGGGTAACGTTCCGGTAAAATACCGGACCGTAGACCAGGTTTACGTTCCTCAGTACCCTGGGACATAAGACCCTCCCAGCGTTAGTTAGACATGTCAATCGCTTGATATAACTTGGTGCTCGTAACTTTTCTTAATTGATCGGATATAGATCCGATAGTCCCCACTGCTAACTGCTCAGAGATCATGCAGGCCTAGCAATATCAATCAATGCTATACATAGCATATTGCAAGGCATTGACTAGAATTATATAGAAACGCTTGTGGGTACGTTCCGGCAGGGCCATCAGCGTCAGTGACTGTCAGATATATTCATTACATTAGTTAGCCCGACCAGGCTGTGCGACGGATTGTCTATACATTGGTATATTACTATACATAGTATATTACTATACATGGTCTATACATTTGTCTATACATTGGTATCCTAACCCTAGCGATACCGTTTCTTGGAGCTATACATTAGTATACTAAATTACTATAACTAGTTATAGTTATATATAAGTTATATAACTGAGTAGGTAACTCACACGAAAACAAGATTTGGGTATAAACTACATTGAGGATTTAGGTATTTGGGTCTGATTTTGCCACTTAAACTGGGCCAAGTGGCAATACTACCAATATCAATATATTTACTTTTTTGGATGAAGAAAATGAAGTTTCAATTATTTTCCAGGCAGCACCAAACTCTTCACTGGACGCGGCCATATTTGTACGAAATAACAAGAGCGCATGTATAACAATATTTTTCTTAGTTACGGTATTTCTGCTTGTTTTATTTTTCGCTTCATCTCGCTTTTCTTCGTCGTCTTCTTCTTTGTCGCCTTGTTCCTATTTTTATCGTTATTTTTTTATTTTTTTTATTTGCGTTTTTTTATTATTATGCATTTTTTCCTCCTATTTTTCGACATTCCTCCTTCTTCTTCTTATTCTTTTCCCTCCTCCCCTATTATTCCGACCACCTCCTCCTTATCCTGTACATCTTCTCAACCTTCTTATTCCTCCCATTCTTTGTTCATTTTCTCTTTTGCTCTCTCTTCTTCTTCGTCCCCCCACCAAAGATCATGTTCATGATCTTTGCCCCACCACATCTTCCCAAGCTACATCATTTCCTCGGCTTCATGCCGCTCGTCATCACCCTTTCTTTCTTATCATCATCCTTCGCTTACTCTCCTAATTCCGAAGTTCCATCCTGCTCCTCCCCACCACTTCATTTTCCTTCAACTGCACTCACTGGCGTAGCTAA